AAGTGTTGAAGATGTCGATGACTGTGTTCCGGTGACAAACTTTGCTCCTCTTATTTCTTGATTCAATTTTTTTTTGTTTTGGTAAATGTGTTGGGTTAACGAGAAAGTGTGGGAAAATCAGATGAAAGATTGGGCTTTTTCAATGCCAAAGCTATAATAGAAAATTTTCCATCCATATTTATTTTGTTTATATTTGATGCGACTGTTTTTTTGCTTTGGCTGAAAAAATTGGCTACTGAAGGTTTTGGTTATTGAGGGCAAAGAAAGGAAGTACTAAGGGGAAACTAAAATGTATCCAAAATGGATTTTTAGGGAAAAAAGTGGATATTATATCTAAAATAAACTGTTATGGCTCTTTCTGAAATTCAATTTCTAATATAAAGTTATTTGCTCATTACATATGGGCTCATATGGATGCTTTCTTTATGAGTTTTTTTTCTCTTCTAAAATTTATGTGTAAGTTAATCTTTTAAGTTGGCAATTAATTATGGTCACTTCAGAAGCAGTGTTGCTGGGTTTTATTTATTGCAATGCTCCCATAAAAGATGTATTCTGAGAAAAAAAAAGTTGCCATATCGGAATTAACGGCTATTGCAGTTAACATTTTGGGTTTTTATTCTGTTATTATGGAAAAGTACAGTTTTGTTTCTTTGAAATTATGCTTTGAAATCTAAATGAAAACGTGGATGGATCAAGGAACTTCTGGCTTAGGAAGGAGAAAGGTCATTCTTTCAGGTTCTTAAGGGGTAAGTTCCTGTATATCTATGATCTGTAATCGTCTATAACTAATATAGAAGGGCGAATATCTTATATTGCTTTGGAAACAAAAGGCTCTTTTGGGCCTAGACATGCGTTTTTTTTCCTTTAAATATATATATATATATATATATATATATATTTGGCTGAAAAAATTGGCTACTGAAGGTTTTGGTTATTGAGGGCAAAGAAAGGAAGTACTAAGGGGAAACTAAAATGTATCCAAAATGGATTTTTAGGGAAAAAAGTGGATATTATATCTAAAATAAACTGTTATGGCTCTTTCTGAAATTCAATTTCTAATATAAAGTTATTTGCTCATTACATATGGGCTCATATGGATGCTTTCTTTATGAGTTTTTTTTCTCTTCTAAAATTTATGTGTAAGTTAATCTTTTAAGTTGGCAATTAATTATGGTCACTTCAGAAGCAGTGTTGCTGGGTTTTATTTATTGCAATGCTCCCATAAAAGATGTATTCTGAGAAAAAAAAAGTTGCCATATCGGAATTAACGGCTATTGCAGTTAACATTTTGGGTTTTTATTCTGTTATTATGGAAAAGTACAGTTTTGTTTCTTTGAAATTATGCTTTGAAATCTAAATGAAAACGTGGATGGATCAAGGAACTTCTGGCTTAGGAAGGAGAAAGGTCATTCTTTCAGGTTCTTAAGGGGTAAGTTCCTGTATATCTATGATCTGTAATCGTCTATAACTAATATAGAAGGGCGAATATCTTATATTGCTTTCGAGACAAAATGCTCTTTTGGGCCTAGACATGCGTTTTTTTTCCTTTATATATATATATATATTATTTTTTTCTTCTTCTTGTTCCACTACCTCCCCCACTCTATCTTTTATTCTTTCATGCATTTCCTCTGTTTCTCTTGTTGCTGCACTCGATTTTGCTCAATTGTATATACATTTATTTTTTCTTTTTGGATTGCAGTTATCCTTCTCTTCGTACACTTTTTTTAAATAAAAAATTTATTTATGTTAGGATTTTGTTCGTATTATGTTTGGGTTGCTGCTTTTATTATCTTAGTTGTACATAGAGACTTTTAAAAGTGGATGAAGTAGACATGCCCAAAACTAGCTTGGCTTCCCTTTGTCATGAAGTTCGAGCGTGTTCTTTTGATGTCATTTGAATAGAACTTTGTAGAATTTGTTTGATGTACATTGCTAATTCGCTTTTGTGTGTAGTGTGTAGAAATGATTTTCTTGGTCAATATATGCTTAAGATCTAAAGTATCATATATGAATACAAGATTACTTTAAAATGGATCCATGTAAAAAATAACATTGGTTTTTCAAAAGACTAAGGGTTGTGGGTCTTATTTTGGTAAACCATTAGGAATTGACAATGTTTAGTCTTTTTTTTTTTCTTCATCTTAAAATTCCATCTCATTCTTTAAATTGTGTGTTTTTCAAAACTCCTGGATGAAATTATCTAGAGCTGACTGACTTCACATATAAAACAATATTGTCACAACTTCAACAAAAGGTTCTGTGCATATAGGGCTGTCTATTTTCTTGCAGGACAATTGTATTTGTAATTTGTTGACTATAGAAGCTACCCTTAAGACGATCCATTAAAAGTTAATGCATCTAGACATGATCCATTAAAAGTTAATGAATCGCATGTTATTATTGTTTAGAACATTTTGCACAATTATTTTATCTTCTTTCTTTCTTTTTTCTTTTTTTGTTTTTTTTGTTTTTTGCAGAGCAAATGGATTTATGCAGCTTTGGACATCAAAGTGGGGCAAAGGGACCAGTATAACCATCTTTCAGTCAAAGATCATTCTTTAATTTTTAATATTTCATTTAATTGAGTCTTGAGAGAGTAGTTTTTAAGCTCAGTAATTGAATGGAAAGTTTAACTAAGTTCATATAAAAGCAAAATCAAATTAATAAAATACTCTAAATGACTGACATGAGAGAGCTGGGTCAAACAACAATTAGAGAGGAAGTAAAACATAAAGGCGTCAGCAGATATATGGTTGTGGCCTATTGAAATGGTTTTGGACCACCTGCAAACTCCCTTTTTTTTCTCTTTTTTGTTGCTCCTTGTTTCTTTTCAATTCCACCACTGTCATCCTTTTAGCTTGTTTGCTCTATAAAACGAACTTACTCTGACTCTTTTTTTTTTTTTTTCCTTTCTTTTCTGTTTTTCAAGAGCCATGGCGCTCATGTTCTCAAACTGCGGCCGTCTGAGCTATCCTTTTTCCACTCTAACCGTTTCCACCACCACCCCGACGCCGCTCTCCGCCACCAATTTGCCGGAGCTTCCGTCTCTGCGATTTGTACCTCCGCCACTCCACAGCACTCCTCGAAGGATTCAAATCCCGAGTGCCAGAAACCCTCAGTTCTCAGGTTCCAGCAAGCAGCTCAACGTCTCCAGGTCACTCTTCCACCATAGCCATTCCATTCTTCACTTCCAACTATTTATTAAAATTAACCTTCACGTTTACACACTTGTACATGTATAATGTAGATTATTTCGGCTACTTTGTTCATGGGGAATTGTAAGACATTGTAATATATTATTTCGGCTACTTTGTTCATAGGGAATTGTAAGACATAATAATATAGCAAGTTGATGTGATCAGTTCTAAAATTGGCTCAACTAAAATTTTGAATTAATTTTATTGTGGTGCTATGACAAGAAATTGTCAAGTTTTTTGGTAGACGAAAATCATCAATTTTCTTTTAAAGATTATGTTGATAGGTATAATGACAGTAATAGAAGTTAAATGAATCTGCTAAATGTGCTGCTTTGATCATTCAACAATGGCTACAAAATATGTCATGGTTGAACGCCATATATTTTTATAATATTTATGCATTCGAAAGCATCGATAATACTGGAGTATTGGGCATCAGTTGGATTTGCCATACTGCAATGTAGCAATACTGGGGGAAAACGTCATTTTTGTTTAAATTTTTTCCCCTCTTTTAATCATTGATTATTTCTAATGCTATAAAAAACGCGATTTGTACCTCCGCCACTCCACAGCACTCCTCGAAGGATTCAAATCCCGAGTGCCAGAAACCCTCAGTTCTCAGGTTCCAGCAAGCAGCTCAACGTCTCCAGGTCACTCTTCCACCATAGCCATTCCATTCTTCACTTCCAACTATTTATTAAAATTGACCTTCACGTTTACACACTTGTACATGTATAATGTAGATTATTTCGGCTACTTTGTTCATGGGGAATTGTAAGACATTGTAATATATTATTTCGGCTACTTTGTTCATAGGGAATTGTAAGACATAATAATATAGCAAGTTGATGTGATCAGTTCTAAAATTGGCTCAACTAAAATTTTGAATTAATTTTATTGTGGTGCTATGACAAGAAATTGTCAAGTTTTTTGGTAGACGAAAATCATCAATTTTCTTTTAAAGATTATGTTGATAGGTATAATGACAGTAATAGAAGTTAAATGAATCTGCTAAATGTGCTGCTTTGATCATTCAACAATGGCTACAAAATATGTCATGGTTGAACGCCATATATTTTTATAATATTTATGCATTCGAAAGCATCGATAATACTGGAGTATTGGGCATCAGTTGTTTTTGCCTTACTGCAATGTAGCAATACTGAGGTAAAACGTCATTCTTGTTTAAATTTTTTCCCCTCTTTTAATCATTGATTATTTCTAATGCTATAAAAAACCATTTTTCTTCTCATCTTTATCTCGATTGAAAATATTTCCCACAAAGAAAGAGAGATACTAGATTATAGTTATTTAGATAATTGTTCATGTTGTTGCATATAGTGTCTATGTTGTTTCGGCTCAAAAGTTGTACTTGGGTGTTATTGCAGTTTTTATATTTTTGCTACCTATATAAACTAATGTTCATGACTCTTTTGCCTCACTAATTTCCGTTGTATTGATCAGGTTGATGCTGGGACTATGAATCCTTTGATCTACCTCAGGGTTCTTGGTCCTAAACTGTGGAATGCTGAGTAAGTGTGCGTAAGATTGTTGTAACAATTACAATCTGTAAAAAATTTTCTAAATATGTATTGATTTCCTAAAAGACAGTGTTACCATCTCTTACAGATTCATATGCGTTGCTTCTGATATTTTGGATGTATGTGCCAACCTTTGTCCTGCTTTTTTAAGAATATAAGATAAGCTATGACTGAAGTAATATGCAAGGCCAAGGTTCTCTTTTGTTGCTAAGACTTTCTAGCCTGTGAAACAGAGGAACACAACAAATCATACCTTGTGAATTAAAATTTAATGCTCCTTGCTGCTTAAACAAATCATACCAACGAATGATACCTTTTGGTCCTTGTGTGTTTCATGAGAGAATATGGCTTTGAGCAAAAGTGAGTGCTATATGATGAAATGAAAATTTTACTAAGTTGTGTTCTTGTAAGTTTAAAATAAGCATATCTACAATCCAATATCAATTGTACTTGAACCCTTTTTTTTGTGTGTGCACATTTTATTTAGTTTTACATCACTCAAACGTTTTTAGGCAGAAATGTGGTATTTGATGTAGAAAGTTTGTTGACCATATTTTAGATATTGTTAGTTGTTACGTTCTGTTATAGTATGGTTACTTAGTTTTAGCCTAAGGCTTGTATATACATTAACTTGTTATCTATAAGTAATATAGAAATTTCAAAATGCTGCACTGTTTTGCCGAAACACGGTCATTTTGGTTGAAAATTTGCGACCAAAACACTGTCGTTTTGGTTAAAAAAGGGGTTTGAATGGGACGACTTCTTCCTTCTCCATATTTGTTCATGTTTCTTTTTTTCCCCTCCTTTCCAATAGCCTTTGTCCTCTAGGGATGTTGCCCTCTAGCCAGTTCCTCATCAGCTTCCATAGCCCTCGCCCCCTCTCTTTGTTTGCATTTGTTGTTTCCTTTCTCTCCCCTGTTTCTCTATAATGAAATCTTTGGTGCGATTTCCACGCTCAGCCCATGGGTTTGGTTGATTTCACATTTATTTGTTTTTTCCTCTTCTCTTCTTATCTTATGATTTGTTATTTTATGGATTTTGTTTGTTTCAGCGAGAATGTAAAGTTTGATCATTTGGATATCCGAAAAGTCTTAGAGTTGTGGATTCTGGCTTTTGGGTGGTTCCTCTTCAATGTCTGACAGAGGCGTCGTTTCACCATCTAGAATCACCGCCAAAGTTTTGAAGATGTCGATGACTGTGTTCCGGTGACAAACTTTGCTCCTCTTATTTCTTGATTCAATTTTTTTTTGTTTTGGTAAATGTGTTGGGTTAACGAGAAAGTGTGGGAAAATCAGATGAAAGATTGGGCTTTTTCAATGC